TTTTTTATGTTTAAAGGTAATTAGTTTTATATTTAATTTTAAATTAATTTTATATAATAAAGAATAATTTTTTTTACTATAATATTTTTATAATAGATTGAAAATCTAATCATTTTTTTTAGAAAAAAAGTATTTTTTAGGAAAGAGTATTTGATTTTATTTTGAGAGAAAGAGAGAAAGAAGATAATACAACAGATAAAATAAATATAATAAGATTATGGTATATAATATAAATAAATTAAATGAGATTCAAGCATTAATTAATAAATTAAATCTTAAAAATTTTCTTAATACTAATAAATTTATTCGTTATGATAATACACTAATTACAATAAAAATAAGAACTAATAATAAAATTTTAGTAATAGTTTTTCTTAATAAAGAAAATAAAATAGAGAAAAATTCAGATCTTTTATATATTATTCACAATGAAATTATTAAATTATATAATAAAATAATTTTATATTTAAAGTAAAGATGATATCTATAATTATAAATTAGAAATTATGATATTACTACTTATAATCAGATCTAGAAATAGTTGACTTAATTAATATTAATCTAGTTCAATTAATTGTATCCTGGTTAATTAATTTTGTTCTGACTAAATTCTGACTTAATTAATTGTATTAGCTAAATTTTAATTCAATTTAATTATACTAATCAAATTTTAACTCAATCTAACTATATCAAATTTTTCAAAATCTTTAAAATTTTCATTCTTATTTTCTTTCTTTTTCAAAATAAAAACAAATACCTTTTCTTAAAAAAAATACTTTTTTTCTAAAAAACAATCAGAATTTTAATTTATTATAAAAATATTACAATAAAAATTATTCTTAATTATACAAAATTAATTTTAAACTAAATATATAAGTAATTACTTTTAAATATTAAAAAATAATTATTCAATAAATTTTATAATTGTGTTAACCAATTAAAATTGTATCAAAATTTAGCCTTTGTATCAATATTTAGTTATTGCATCCACCAGAGCTAATTCCTGAACTCAATTGGTTAAATTAAATTTGGTTAAATTTTTGATTTAATTTATATTATGTTTTCTATTTTTAGTCAGATCTATATATAATCACCACATCAGAACTGAATTTTGATGGTAATTACAGTATAACAGTAGATAATATTATTTAAAAAACTTATATATAATTATATTATATAAAAAATATATTACTAGTGATTATAAATTTTTATAATTAAAATTGTTATTATATATTATTTTTTCAATTCAGAATTTTTAATTATTTAAAATTAGAATTTAAAGTATATACTTTAATTATTTCAAAATCATATCTATACATATTTCTAAATTAATTTCTAATTTTTGAAATATTTTGTCTTTTAAAATTTAGTCAGAATCTATTCTATATATAGAAATAAAAAAAAATATCTAGTTAAGTATATTTTTAATTAAGTAATTTATTTGGGTGATCAAAAAATTTGAGATTTTAAATAAAATAATTTTATCTTTTATAAAAAACTATTTTAATTTTTTTCTTCAAAATTATAATTTTGAAATTTCAAAATAATTTTGTATACAAGTATACTTATATCTATAAAAAAAATACTATTTAATTTTGTTTGTTTTTTACTTAGAAATTTTAACTTTTCAACAAATTATATATATTTTTAAATTTAATTAAATTTTCAAAACAAAAATCATTTAAATTTTATTGTTCAAAAAAAACTTATATATTTTTTTAAAGATATAAGACTTTCTTTAATATTAATAGTATGTAATTCTTTATTATCAAATTTATTATTAATATTTTATAGTACAGAGTTATTTTCTTTTAATATTAATTTAATTATTTGATCATCTATTAATAGTTCTTTAGTAGTTATATTATTGTTATCTTCAAATTCTAATGAAATATCTACATATTATCAATTTCATTTTGATCATATAAATATTTATTTTACATATTATTTTTAATATCATTAATTTTTTCTTCACTTGTATTTAATAAAATTCTTATCTTTATTTAATAATTTATAATTGTTAATTGTATTACTTTTTTTCAAGCTTTTTCAATAAAATTAATTACTTCTTTAATATTTAATTTGCTAAAAAAAATAATTAAAAAATAATTAAAAAAATAATTAAAAAAAATAATTAAAAAAATAATTAAAAAAATAATTAAAAAAATTATTAAAAATAAAATTTAATTATAATTTATCTATATTTTCACATCTTTTAAATCTTTAAATAAAGTTACAATAATAATTGTTTATATTTTAACTGTAATAAAATAAGTATTTATATTAATTAAATTTTAATATATTAATTCCTAAATATAATTATTTGTACTATACCTTAAAATTATTTATAATATCTGAATATAAATAGGTAAAAAAACTTGTAAATAGTTAAAATATATAATGTTAGAATAAAATATCTTTATAATAATTTAGAATTTGATATTTATTAAGTAATAATTATAAATTTTGATAATTAATATAACAAAGTGAAAAAAAAAGAAATTATAAAAATAAAAAGGTATAAAAGTAATAAAATTTATTAAAGTATTTTTGATATTATTATTTGTTAATATAATAATTTTTTTTTTATATATTGGAGTTAACTTTTATTATTTACTTAAGTTTTTTACTATTTATTTTACAATCTGTAATTGTTTTGATAACTACTTAACTTTACATATGATAAATTAACTATACCAGTATATATTTAATTTTTAAAATTTCAGGTTACAATTTTCTTATCAATAGTTCTATAACAATAACTACAATTTCAATAGTTTTATTATAAAGATATTATTGAAAAGTAATTTAATTATAAAAGATTTTGACTGTTTACTTTTAATAAGTTATATTACAGAAGGTACAAAATTCAGAAGGTAATATACTCTCTATTCAAAAGTGTTTAAACTATTTGTCATAAGTATTCTTATAACTAAGTAATATCTAACTGAGTTATTGAATTCACCTCTCATTGATCTCTTCTTTCATTAATTAATATGACAAATATTTTAAAAATTGACTTGATCTCTAACTTCTAATTTAAGTATTAGTTATCTCATGTAAGTCTATATATTTCAATTTATATAATCAGTTAGTAAATATTATACATGATACTTGAAAATATATAGATTATATATGTTTTCAAAATTAATTTTGAATTTTTAATATATTTTGTTTCTTTAAACTTTATACAAAATCTAATCTACTGTATATATAAAAGTAAAAAAGTATTTAGTTAAATATATTTTTAATCAAAGAATAGAAATCAAGTTTTAAAAAATTTTATCTTCTATAAAATAATTTTATTTTCTATAAAAAAATTATTTCAACTTTTGGATCTCAAAATATTTTGACTTATTATGATAACCTATTTTATATATAAGTATAATATAGACAACACTTTCAATTAGGCTGTCATATTCATATGGATTAAGATACCAGTTAATATTTAATTGAGTCTTAGATTACAAAAAGATTATTATCTATACATCTAGCTGAAGTCAATCTATTGACCTTATGACAAGATTCTAGTGTATTAGTCACTAGATTATACAGATTAAAGTTCTGTTAATATAACAAAAATACATTTATTAAAAATATAATATAGTATATAAAAATATAAAAAATATCTAATTCAATATATTTTACTTTTAATATAATTTTATATTGAATAAAATTTATACTAAATAATATATATTAATATATTATGAAATTTCATATATTAGAAGATTTTTTTTAGTAAAAACTTTAAAGGTTAATATTAATATAAATATTCTATTGTTTTTATTATATTATCTTTTAAGATTTTGTTAACTTTCAAAAATTATTAATTTTGATATTTTCATTTATAAAATTTTACAAATATTATTGTTTTCATAATAAATTTGTATTAGAGATTTTTGATAACTTTCACTTACACTAGTCAAATATAAAAGAATTACTGTACCAAATGGTAATTTCTATATTATAAATTAATTAAAAATCAGAATTTTTATATTATAAACTAGCTAAAAATCAACTATTCTATTGTATCCTATATTATAAATCAGATAAAATTGGAATTTCTTTTCAGTACATCTATTCTTTTGTATTTGACTTGTATTATATTAGATATTTATAATATATTGTTTCATTAAACTTTAATATACTGGTCATCACTTGTATTCAATTTTTATAAATCTCAGCATACTTAGTTTTATTGTATTCTGCATATATTTATATTACAACAATTTAATTGACATTGCATTGTCAATGATATCTTTTAAAGTTTATTGCAACAATTTTATTTGATATTATATTGTCAATATCTTTTGAAATTTATTGTAACAATTTTAATTGATATTACACTGTTAACGATATCCTTCAAAGTTTATCACAACAATTTTAATTGATATTGCACTGTTAACAATATCCTTAATCAATATTGCACTGTTAACAATATCTTATCACAACAATTAAGATTAGCATTTATATTTACTGAATGTAATTATAATAAATTATTTACTACTCAAGATGTAATCTAAATCTGATAATTGATAAATTTATTATTTACTGAAGAAATTAATAGAGATTAAGGCGACAGATTTTTTATAGCCCTTGTTATATAATTATACTATACATTCCTTGTGAAGACCTGATATGAGATTTCCTGCTATCAAATACTTACAATGGGTTTTTTTAAGTAAGATAATTAGTAAAGTTTGATCAAATAAAAGAAGTATCCAATACTTGAATGGGCAATACAACAGATTATCTCTTTTATCACTTCTTTTTGACCCTGTGATAAATATAATAGTTTTTTTTTTTTGTATATTCGGAAATTTTTATTTATCAAAAACGATACCTTGCACACCACGTGATATTTTCTTTATAAATGAGAATTTTTTATCATCTATTAACAATGTTCGTTTGACGAATTGGACTTTTTTAATTAAAAAAATTACACAAGAGGTTCTAAAGTTATCACGAAGAAAGTGCTTAGTTTACGTTTTTTTTTCAAAATGCCGAACGCAACAGCTATCGAAAACAATAATGTTCAACCAGTTAAACGTAGTAAAAATAAGAGAAAATCTTTGGCAGTTGCCACAAATGATGTTTCTTCATCAGGTGGTCAAGAACAACCTTCTCCTACTGTAGCAACCACAGAATCTGCTGAAACAAACCTTGAAAATGTAAACAAGAATCCATTTATTGAAGTAGTTAACAAAAGGATCAGAACCTTGAGAAAAAAGATGGTGCGTATTTAAATATATTTTAGTAAATACTTTAAATAAAGCTGCATAAATAATTAAAAGTATTTCTAGAGTCCGAAGTATCTTCATTGACTTATTTGTGAATAAATTCACGTTCATCATTTTCTTTATTTATTTTTTTTTTTTTTACCTTGGAAACGATTCATCATCAAAATTCATGATATATTTCTATTATCATTATATTTGGTTACCGAAATCATAATGTCTCTCATTTAGACCAGAATCGAGAAATGCGAGGACGATCTCAAAGATGGTAAAACTTTGAACCCTGATCAAATCCAATCATGTGAACGAAAGAATGAAATAGCAGGTGCCCTCAAGGAATGTGAAGAAATCGCAAAACAATATGAAACAGTTGAGAAAGAGGTTAATATATATAATTATTAAAAATTATCACATTTATTCAAAATGGTTAATAAATATTAAACATCAAATTTCATTTAATTTATTTCACTTTTTAATAGGAGATCAAGAATCAAAAGGTTCTCAAGAAAGAACAACAAGAAGAACGTGAGCAAGCAATTTCAGGGGCTGTCGAGGAAGCTGAGGTATATATTAAAATCATATCATTCATTTTGATTAATTAAAATGAAGAAAGCAACTCAATTCTCTCTCCCCCTTTTTTAGACTGCCCATCGACAATCTATTATAAGCCTTATCAAGTTTTTCCATCTTTTCCAGCTTCGATTATCAGGTGATGTTCAGTTGAAAGAAACCGAATCGGAATCGATTGATTCCCTTCACAATATGTTCATGAGCATAACTGAAGACACTAAAGACGATCAGGTCAACAAGCAACGGATTTTGGAATGCATGATGCACCTTAATAAATTGAGTAATGGGGATGAAAATATTATCCCTAAATCATTTGCAAACGGTATTATTGAATCGAATAACGAAACGGTTGTATCTTCACCAGAAATAAGCTGTACGTATAATAGCTTTTATCTATCTTTAGTTTTTTTTTTTAGTAAAAAAAAATTAATTAAAATAAATTTGTTGAAATTTAGATTCTCATATTCGTAATTTAATTGAGAATCCGCCGATACTAAATACCGTTGAACAAACGGAACAAGAAAATTCGGTAGAGGAGCGGGAAGTGATTATTAATCAAGAAGAAATGGTAAATCATGATGATGGTCTAGGTATGTAGTTACATTTGATAATATTTATTGAAAAAAAAATCTTGCTAAATTTAATGTAAATTCCTTTTCCCTTTAATAAGGCGGGGCATATACGACGATTCCCGCTGGTGGATTGCAATTTATGTTGTCTCGAGGTAATTTCTTATAATTATTCGTGCATTTATATTAATTCATGTTAATTTTTATTTATTTATATATTTAATTTTTTTTTTTTTTAATTTATTTTACAGATGAATCTACATCTCAAACGTTAGATCCAATTATTAATCAGAGTCACGTCTCTTATATATATCCTGATGCAGATTCTGATAAAAATCTAGCAGCCACCGAGTCAATGACTGAGAACAATTTTAAAGAATACCAACAGCAACAATCATTCTCCGAGACTTACCTGGAACAACAGCAACAACAACAACAACAACAACAACAACAAGAGTATACATTAGATCAACAACAATATCTTTCAGAACAACAACAACAAAATTTCATTACAGAACAATCTGAACAAAATCAACTTTCTGTTGATCAACAAGAACCTAAGCAAATTATCGATCATGTCCAAATTGATGTTCAACAGCAACAAACACAGCCACCTTCACAACCGCATCCTCAACAACCATCACAACAACCACCAACACAAACCTCTCAACAAATGGATCAACCACCTCCACTTTCATATCAAACAGGTAATCACCGAGGAGGATATCGTGGTGGTCATCGTGGACCTAGAGGAGGTTATCGTGGTGGTCAAGGTAGGAGAGATAGCGGTGGATATTATTATAGAGATGGTGGAAATTATCGTGGAAATCGTGGTGGAAATAATAATTCAGGTCCTAGAAATAACAGAGGTGGTAGTGGAGGAGGTGGTGGTAGTATTAGTGGCGGTGGCAGTGGTGGTAGTGGATATCAAGGTAAATATTTTTTCTTTCGTCTTTCCTTTTTGTATTTATGATATTAAAAAGATATTAAAAAGAATTGTCGACTAAAAAATTCTTTGCATTTTGTTTATTTTGATCAATAGGACCTCGTGGAGGTAATCAATACAAACAACGTTCTCAATGAATAGAAAAATTGAAAGATCTGGATCTTTCTATAGGAATTTTTTTTTTGGCACAGCACATTTTTTAAAGACAAAAGAAAAGCAAACGAACAATTTTTTCGAAATTTAGAAAATTCAAAAATATTTTTGCACTGAAATATTTTCTTGTAAAAATATTCGATGCAGTCAATAATTGTCGATTGGCTTCTTTTTCTTATGTATTTAATTTTGTGTTGGGTGATCCAAATTTCGTGTTATTCAAAAATTTTCTGCTGTTATTATAATGTAATAAAAAAAGTTTATCAGTCAGTTAGTCAAGTATCAATTTGTGTAACCATTATTTTTTTTCCGTTTCCCAATATATTTTAGAGTTAAAATAGATTTCTATTTCAATATTTGTTATTGAAAGGATCTTAACAATTTTGAGAGTATAATATTCAAAGTTAATGAATTCGTGAAATTTAAAGTTTGAACTATGATTAATATGTTAATGTTGAAAGTTAACTAAGACGAAAAAATTGCTTCTTGTGGTTACGCAAGAATCTTTTAATTAATAACTGGTAAATCCTGTGATTATCACCTGACCCTTTACTTTATCAAATATTTTATCGAAAATCTTAGACTAATTATAACCTATGTCGAATATTTCTAGGCAGAACTCCCAAGTAAAAGGGAAAGGGAAAGAAGTAATTGAAGAAAGACCACCTAAAAAAGTCGCAAATGAATATCAATTGAAAGCAATTGAGTGGGTTGATGCTTTAGGCCAAACGCAACGTTTGAAGATTATCACTCAGAATGGTATGTTGTCTACAAACCTATTTTAATTGTCTTTTGGAAATATTGATGTTTTTTTTTTCAACTTTTGTTCGTTTTGCCATTTCGACTAACTTTTTGTTCTTACTTATTACTTTCTTTTTTTTTCTTAGAAAACGGACCTTGCCCCTTATTAGCATTATGTATATTCTTCTTTTATGATTCCTTATTAATTTCGAAAATTTTATAAATATAATAATAATTATTTAACTTATAAAACCCTTACCTTTTTTAATTAATTAATTGATTAATTTATTTATTTATTAATTCAAACAGGCAACGTTTTACTTTTAAGAGGATTAATTGAAATTAAACCATATGATCGCTCCTTCGTAACTTATGATTACCTTGTGGAATTATTAGGTGATTATTTGTTAAGAACAATACCAAACGGAGAAATTGGGGAAGCAGAGGTACATTAATTATTATTATTGTTTTTATTTTTTATAAAAAAAAAAATTATTATAATTCAATTCTATTGACAAGGTTTTTTCAATAACTTATAAAAAATTGTCGAATGAATGAAAAAGATTCAGAAAGGAATATTAGAAGATTTGAATTTTAATCAATTATCTAAGATCAGTCAAGAAAAGCAACTCGTAAATGAAAATAAAGAAAGTCTAAATAAAAATAATCAATTATTGAATTATGACAACAAAGGAAAAGAAATGGAAATGGGTGATAAAGGAAAGAAAGAAGTGGTATTGGATGATAAGGAAAAGGAAAAAAAGGAGGTAGAAATGGGAGATAAAGAAAAGGAAAAGGAGAAGGAAGTGGAAGTGGAAGTGGAAACGGATGATAAAGAAAAAGAAGAGGTGGAAATTGGTTATAAAAAGGAAGAAGAGGTGGGAACAAGTGATAAGGAAAAGGAAGTGGAAATGGAAATAGGTGATAAAGAAAAGGAAAGAGAGATGGAAATGGATGATAAAGAAAAGGAAAAAGAGGTGGAAATGGGTAGTAAGGGAAAGGAAAAAGAGGTAGAAATGGAAGATAAAGAAAAAGAAAAGGAAATGATGCCAGAAAAATTAAATAAAATTGATCAGAATTCACTTTCAAAAGATTCAAATCCATTTAATAATTCTTCATTTACCAGAACTTCAATACAAGATTATCATCATACGTTAAACACAGCGTTATCTATTATTCCTTCTTTACAATCTGGTTTAGATGTAAATGTTAGATTTAACTCTATTCATGGATTTGAACCCACTGCTGAATTATCGGTATTTGATATATTTAATGTGGAATTGGTTCACGGATGGGTAGTTGATCCACAAGATGAAGAAACTTGGGAAGTTGTGGTGGGAAAATGTGGCAGTTACAATAAAGCAGTTGAATGTGTGGTAAGTGGAGACAGTTTAAGTAAAGGTGTTGTATTAGAAAGCAATGAAAAATTAAAAGTTTCTAATATAAAACCTGAGAAAAATTCAGATTCCATGGAAAATTCAAAAGTACGAGATGGTAATAATAATAATAATAATTACTTTTTTTTATTACTCACTCGGTCATAATAACTTTTTAATGAGTAATTTTCTAAATTTAAATAACTTCAAAAAATTAAATTTTTTTTTTTAGCTCTGATCACATCCCAATTTTTGGAGTCAACTGCAACTCAATTGACTTATCATGGTTTATTAACATTATCCGAAACATTACCACCCGGAAATCTTTGCGTATTTTTTCGGAATAACCATGTTAGTTTTTATATATACATATATAGAGATATTTTTATATTTTTATTTTTATTTTTTTTATCTTTTAAAATATTAACTTCATAATTTCATATTATTCATAATTGTTACGGTATTAGTTTTCAACACTTTTCAAGCATCCCCAAACTTTAGTACTTTATATTCTAGTCACAGATGCAGGATTTGTTCATGAACGTTCTGCGGTTTGGGAATCACTTACCGATGTAGATCAAAATGCATCAGAATTTGTTAATGGAAAATTCATTAAGGGTGAAACTACTGGTGGAGATTATGTGGAAGTATCAGAACATCATGAGATATCGGGAGGAGGAGATCAAGAGTAAGTTATTTTATTATTGATTTTTATTTATTTATTCATTTATTTATTTTTTTTTTTTATTATTATTATTTGTTTTTTTTTTTAATTATTAATAAATTATTTTTCATGATTTAAAGTTACGCATTTGCATTAAGCCTTCAACAACAAGAAGATGATCGTGAAGCGGAATATCTTCGTAAGCGTAATCAAATGAATTCACAACAACAACAATCTCGTCAACGAGATCAAGAAGAAATTCAAAAACAACAACAAAAAAATAATAATCTTTCTCCTAATCAAGCACAATCCGATGCTATCTCACAGTCATCCGTTGGTAGTTCATTTACTACAGCATCATCATCTGAAAAAGAGCGAAGAAAGGATAAAAAAAAAGATTGTATTATCACATAAATTTAGAAAATATGTATTATTTATTTATTTATTTAAAATATATATATATATATATATATATATTAAATGTGTAGAGTGTATATTTATTATTATTTATTTATTTTTATTTTTATAAGTTTTAAATTGCATTATTGAATTATTTCGTTTTATTTATTTTTAAATAATTTCGTTTGTTTCTATTATTTATTAATTTATTTAATTTAGATTGGATATTTATTTATATATATTTTTGACGAAATTTTTGATATCTTTCATATTGTACTGTATAATAATTTTTTTCTAGGTGAAATTCGCTTGCGTGATTAATGATAATAAAAAATAATAATAATAAAAAATAATTATGATAACAACAACAACAACAACAACAACAATAATAATAATAATAAATTCCCAGGACTAATTATTAATATTTAACCAATAAAAATAGAATGCTAAAGTCACATGTAAAAATGACGCAGTAATAATCAAAACTTTATCAAACAAGAAAAAATTATCATTACACTTTGTATGTAATCAGAGAGAATGACAGCTACGAAAACAGTGTTGAGATCTTACTCTAGTGATTACTTAATGGAGCCTTGGTTTTTACAGATTAAATTACGATTGTCTATTTAGTATGTACATTACATAATACGATAAAGTAATATTACTAATATTACCAACTATATTCGCGCAATGTTTGAAGAATTTTTATCTTCGGATCAATCTTATAAAAAAGTAAAACACATATATAACAACGTTTAACAACATATAATATATAGCAACGTATGGCAACGTATAATAACGTATAATAACGGCGTATAATCATATAAGAAACCATAATAATGATCACGTCCGACATTCAATGGGGAATCATTGCATAAATTATTAATTGGGGAATTATTAATTATAATCTCTATTATAGGTATCAATATACATACGCATATAAGCATATAAGTTAGATAAAATTTTAAATTAATTAAATTAATTAAAATTAAAGTTTATTTATGGAATTCGTAGAAGTTATAATAATTACGATTCCGAAACGACGCGTGATGATATTAACGATTGTTACCATTCTGATCAACTGCATTACATCATCCATATAAAGAAATCGAAACCTTTCACTATATTCCGTTAGCACATTCATTCATTATTCATTCATTATTCATTCGCACGCAAATCGTATTGATTATTCGGGGGTTTTTTTTCTTTCAAATGAATTTTTTAAATAATTTAAAAAATTTTGTCCGTTATTATTTTTTTTAAATAAGTAATTAAATTAATTCTATGACCCATGACTCGATTAATGATAAATACTCGTTTTTATGTCTATATTCAGGAATTCATTCATTATTATTTTTTTTTTTTCTTTTATTAGAAATTTAATTCATTTAAACGGGTTTAATGACATGACGTTTTTTTATTGGCATTCGGATAATTTCAATCAATTAGAATTTCTCATTTAGTTCTAGCATTCATCCCATCACCTTTTATCATTCATTTGACATTCGACTCGAGAATTCTATTATTCATTTGAAGTTTCAGAAAAAAAAATTACGATTGTCCCAATTCTAGAACAACCAAGTTTATAACCTAATTTCGTTAAAAGAATTTTCAAATTTCAAATTCCCAACCAATAATTTTTTTACCAAATATAAAAGGTTAATCAAAGTTTTATAATAATATATTAATTTGTAATTTCTAATTTAATTAAATTAATTAAATAAATTAATTTTTTTTTTTGACATTGAAAATCCTATCATCATCGTCACCGTCATCATCATCATCACTATTATGTTTTCGTATTTATTCAAAAAGGAAAGAAAAGGAAAGGAAAGGAAAGAAAAAGTAAGAAAGAAAAGAAAAAGAATTGATTGGTGTAATTTTGTTTAATCTTATTTACAACAATGAATTTTATTTATTTTTAATTTTTTTTTTCTTTGAATTATTGATAAAAATAAAAAAAATAATAAATAATTCTGTAACATAATTCTAATTTTAATTCTTAATTTAATTCCTCATTTTAATCTTCCTTAATTTAATCCTTCATTTAATTATTAATTTAATTCTATAATATAATTTTGAATGCAATTATTTACTCTTCTTTACATGCAGTTTTTTTTTCCATTCGAAATGAATGATAGTCCAAAACGACTCGCATCTTGCATTATTAGGTAATAATGTGATTTTAAATTTTAGGGTCCTTTTTTATTTATCACTTAACATTTAAATATCACTCAAAATTAATCACCGAGTTTTTTTTTTTAATATCGAACAAAGAATTTACAAAGACAGAAATTGTGTAGGTTAAACCCCAAAAAACGTTTAATCGAACATCAATGAACATCCATCTACTGTGATAATATTTTGTTTTTAATAAAGTAACCATTTTTGTGTAATAATAATAATAATAATAATAATAATAATAATAACAATAATAATAACAATAATAATAATAATAATAATAATAATTCAAATTTATCCATATCTTTAAAAATACTTTAATTGCTAATATATATAATCAATATAATTGAAATAAGAAGAATAATATTGTTATTGTTTTTTTTTTTTAAAAAAAAATCTTGTTTATACTAGTAACAATATCCATATATCTAAACATATCCATATCTATACATATTATTATCATTTATAAAATATATATAAACCAATCGTTTTAAAATGTTTAAAAAATATGAAATATTAATATATATATATATATATATATATTTATATATTTATATTTATTTATATTTATTACGTTTATTATAGAAATCTTTTTTTTTTTAAAAAAAGAATTTTTGTTAACGAAAATTTTTAGTAAATGATAATTATTGAACGGTATCGGGATTCTCATTGTTTGTGATCACGTAATAAAACTTTCTTGTTACATTTAATATTAAGATATACGCGTAGTAGTAGCACTTCATTATCGCGTAGATCGCGGAGATCCTTTTTGTGTTACGCGTGATTAGGTGATTAGTAAGATTTAATAAAATTTAATTAAAAAAAAACAAAAATTACGTAAAATTAAATTACCTTTTTTTAACCCTTTAGTTTAATTTATAAATTTGGTAATAATGATGATAGTAGAAAGAAGAAGAATAAAACCTTTTTTTTTTTTGAAACAAAATAAAATAAAAAATAAAAGTGGCAAAAAGAAGGAGAAGAAAAAAGGAGATAATAATAATAATTTTACATTTCGAATCTAGAAATTATGGTGATGTAATTTTTTTGTTTTGTTTTTTTTTAAGCATAAATTTTCTTAAGCATAAATTTTCTTAAGCATAAACATGAATTTTGACTTAATATAAATTGTTCTTTTAAACGTATCATTAAATTTAATAATAATAATTTATTATTATTATAATAAAAAGAAATGTATTAAATGTATGACAAAATTAATGAATAAAGAAAAGATATATAATTATAATGTAGTCTATTTGAATTATATTATTATGTTTTTATTTTATTACCATTTATTTATTCTATTTATTCTTTCTATTTAGTGTTTCTATTTATTCTAATTATTTTTTATTTATTTTAGTTTATTTATTTATTTTATTTTAATTTGTCAATTACTGTCTGTTATCATGTCGCTATTATTTATTGTCATTGTTATTATTATTATTATTTATTATTATTATTTATTATTATTATTATTATTATTATTGTTATTATTATTACATTCTTATATAATTCATTATAATTTTTAAATCTATTATTATCAATTATAAAGGAATAAAAAAAAAACCTACCTTATGATCATATGCATATTTTTGGATATTAAGAAAAAAAAAGCGAAAATACAAGAAAACACACTAAAATGAAATTTTATTTGATTCGGCGTAAATGCTATTTTTAAAGTTAAAGTTGAATAGAAGAATTAGTTAAAAATAGTTTAAAAAGGTAAATCAAATAAACATTTATAGTTAGAAAGAAAAAGTGATTATTCAACATAATAATGATTAATAGATAAAAATAGTTAAAAGAAAAAAATATTAATAGATATATAAAAAAGAAAATTGATTAATTTTAAAATAAAAAATAATTGATTATTGTGATAAAATAAAAAAAAAATAAAATCAATAAATAATTGATTACGATTGTGATTATTTTACAAAAAGGAAATTTTTAATAATAATAATAATAACAATTAAGAGAGGACTTCAATATGAAATTATTTATTTAGAGTTAAAAAAAAATAGTTACGCGTGAAATAATGACATTAAAAATAATTAAATAAATAAATGAGGTAAAATCAATTTTCTTTTTTTAATGATGATTATTTGATGACGATTAATTGATTGATTTGATGAAAAATGGTAATATGATAGATGAAAAATGATATATGAATAAATAAATAAATAAATCAATAACAATTAATTAATTATATTCGTTTTTTACACATTCGCATGTGTTAAGGAGATAAATATAAAAATATGTTTTGACAAACAAATTTTAAGAAATTTTTTTTTTAAGAAACTTATACGTGAGAAAATAATTAAAATGGTAAATTACAATAAATTATAATAATAAAAATAATTACAAATTATAATAAAATATACTTTTACAATTATTTATAATAATAAAATATACTTTTTTTTTACAATTCATAAATGTACAGTGTAATCATTATGATAATACTTAAAAAAGTCATGATAATTACTTGATTAACCTTAATTAACCTTATCACTTATTAAACCTTATTTATTTATTTTTTTTTAAATAACCGGAAATTATATGATATTAAAAATCGTGACGGAGGAGGGTGGGAGAAGGTGAAAGTTGTGTAACGTAGGTGCGCTGGCAATGTGATGTAATGTGTATTGTCTATATGAAAATAAGGAAATTTGAATAAAAAAATAAATAAACAAATAAATAAATAAATCATAAATAAATATAACTTGATCAAAAAAAAAGGGAATATATAATGAATATAATAAATAAAAGTAGAATAGAAACTTAAAGATATAATTTGAGGCGTTTCGTTGGAGAACCCAAAAAGGAAAGAAATAAAT